ATAGTATAGTATAGTATAGTATAGTATAGTATAGTATAGTATAGTATAGTATAGTATAGTATTATATAGTTTAGTATAACATAGTATTGTATAGCACAGTATAGTATAGTATGGTATATTGTATTATAATATAGTATAGTATTGTATGTATTGTATAATTTAGTAAAGTATAATACAACATAGTATAGTATTGTTTAGTGTAATGTAGTATAATACATTATAGTATAGTATAATGTAGTTTTGTATAGTGTGATATAATGTAATTTGATATAGATTATTGTAATTTTTTGCTTTATAATAGATCTTACACTATACTAAACAATACTAATTACACTATTTAATGTACTTTAGTATAGGCTAATTTATTAAATTATAGTATCGTTTACCATATTATGGTATATTATGTTATAACTCCTTTTGCTACTTGCTGGACAGTAACTCAACCAGATCAGTTATCGGGCTTCGAGGGAAGTTGATATATTGCGATGGCAATATCTTACGCTCTCCTAAATTGAGCATAATTGTAGACATTTGGCTGATGTACTGATTACTGTTTTATTTTTCCCCTTTTTTCGTTGACCAATTCAAATCTGTGCGCCTGAATGCTTCTTCCCCACGTCGAAACGCCTGCATTGCGACCGTTAAACTGACGTGTAGGAGAAACAACGCTTGACGAAGGCTCTGACGGAGGCTCATCAACAGAGTCTCTCGGCCGAAGAGGATGCCCGCGAGCTGCGTCACTTTCTCAATCGTTGCCAGGAGGACAAGAAACGTCTCAGTCAACGTATCGACAAGCTGACTGCAAACGGCAAGTGGTCTGAAACTCCCAACTGGAGTTGTACACCCGTCAGGTTCACATTTACACATACAGACTTAGGCTTTTTCAGTCGTGTCGGGTGAAGTTGTCGAAAATGGCCACAAGAAAGATGTTAAAGATGACTGAAGCGTTTGCTAGACGCGATCTTTCGGCTTGCCTTGCAGAAGCTTCGAGGAAGAGGATCTGGCATCCAGTTCTGCCGACTCGAGTAGATCCGCATTTTGCGGTGCAATATCCTCTGATCCGACGAATACGTGCTCAGTTTTCGTCACATAAAGGAACCATAAGAAGTGGTCTGACCCTATTTTGCCAAATTGATCAAGTCGTCCGCACGACCTGGGATGAGTACAACCTAAATAAAAAATTTATTCACCCTATTTCGTTCAAGACGATCAGGAAACTAGTAGTTGAATTTTACCTTAATCATATCAGTAGACATGAGTAGAGATGTTAGTAAATCTACCAAGTCACCTGTCCGACGCTGGAAATTATCACGATTACTGTAACGGAGGACTTTAGCCAAATTGTGTTCATTCTTCGATTATAAGTAGGTCTTCGAGACTACCAGTAGATCATTTATATTTAATATCTATTGACCCTATTTCGTGTAATATGATAAAGGGACTGGTGGTTGAATTTTCCCACAATCATGTCAGGAAACTTGTTTTTCCCTTCAATTTCACACGGCCTTGCTTTTCCAAAATGTATCCTCATTCAGGGCGGACTGCAGGAAAGTAAAGCTATGTGAAATGAAATGGAAGCATAAGATCTACTCATATGATTGTGGACAAATTGAACCACCTAACTCCTTATCACATTAAACAAAATAGGATGAATATACTTCTTATATAAATGATCTACTGGTAGTCTTGAAAACCTACTTATAAACACAAAATAAACTCAATTTTTAAAAGTCTTCCGTTACATTAATCACGATAATTTCCAGCGCTGGATCGTGGACATGGTACATTCGCAAATATTTCTCCGTCAGCGTCAGTGAGAAAAGTCAATATTTGCATCAAATTAGCCATTTCCTCTCTCCTAATTTTTGATAATGCTCAGGTAACCAAGGTTGTTTGATGATTTTTCGTTCTTCTCTTACATATCAACCCGAAAGGTGAACTGCATCAACTAAAATCTACCAGAAGTAGGCGGAATATAAGCAAAATTTAGCAAACAAGTCATAGGATATTTCATCAGGGCCGAAATTATGGCCCCATACAGTCACCATACTTGAGTTAGGGATTGTGTTGAGGCCATGGAGTATGGCCTCTGGTATCATCACTGAAGTCTTTGCAACATTTTCGTGTTGGCAGGACGACCTGGATGAATCAACCTCATCCGAAGTAGTCATTGAACTTTGAAGCACCGGACCATGGACTTTGTACATTTACAAAGAGTTCTCTGTCGTGCCAGTCTTATAAACCAACTATCTACCGAATGACTGTTGTTATCCTTCCCCTTCTATTCGAGTACATCTACCTACCCTCTATTCTCGATGTATCAAGACAGAATGAATGGTACAACGCTCATTCTGAAGAATAGTTCGGTCTTTAAGAAGTTATGGTTTGATATTAAGGCTGGCAAAGCTCATAAACTGCAAGTCCATGATCCGATGTTGCTAATTATTATGACTACTTTGGGAGAGGAGTTCGGACAAGGTTTAATTATCCAAGTCGTCCTGACAACACGACCAAGTAGCGATAAAGAGGTCACACCACTTTTGCAAACAAAATAGAGGCAACACTTTCTTAGTATTCTTATCTACGATTAAAGGTGTAATAAGATTTCATAGAATCCTAAAATAAAAATGGGAGCCAGTGGCAAGACAACGAACTTCTGATAAAGAATATATTATATCTCTTATATCTTTAATTATAGTAAAAATTCCGTAATAATAAGAATATTGGATAATAATTATATTATATCCCTTATATATTTAATTATATTATA